TTGAAGGAGAACCCAGAGAACTTCAGGTTGATTCATGGGTCTTCACACAAACAAGGACTTCCACTTGAACAAAGCTGGGTGTGCCTTGCGTTTGACATGTTGGTGGGCTGGTTGCGTAAGCAACGTTGCATGCGGGGGCTGTTTGTGGGGTTTGGGGCCGGCTCAAAAGGTTGCGTAGGGCGCTGGAAACTGATTTGCGCCCGGCTAAGGGCTGATTGCGGTTGGCTCGATGGGTTGGTTTGGGGTTGGCTTGCAGTTGTTTTATGCAATGTTTTGAGGCTGGTTTAGCACTGGATTTAGGTTTGCCTGAAGCATGTGGATCAGCGAGTGCTTAAGCCCGCTATGAGCAGCTTCAGAAGCCCACCGCCACTTTTTTTGGGGGTGCCTGGGCCCCCGGAAGTCTTATTAAAATGGAAGCAACCTATGCAGTGTTTGGGGCTTAACCGGGCGAGGAGGGGTTGGGAGTGGGGGTGGATCCCATGATCTGGGGGGAATCAGCTGGTGCCAATACGTGCCAATCGGCAGGCGGAGAGGGAGAACACCTACATCAAGGACCAAACGTCGCAGTGTCATGGGCCAGCGTTGCTGTGAACTGGGCAGTTCTGAGTGTGCCTTGTTTGGGTCTGTGAACTGGGGCACTGACATGAACTGGCTGTGCCTGAACCAGTCTTGGTCCTCATTTTGGGGTCAGAATCCCTAAAATGGCCCCAACATGAGCCCAAAACCGCAGGTTAAAGGACCACCACAGGCAAGCAGCGCGTGTGAAAGACCCGCAGCGTCTGAGTGAGGAGTTCCTTTTCGTCATCAAGGACTGGGTGAAGAAGTGCGGCGCTGACCGATTTTTTTCCGGGCTCGTTGTCCGGATGCCTCCAAATTGGTCTTTTCTTGGTGGCTCCCAGCCTTTGGCGGTTGGATTTCCGTTTGACCCACCAAAAGTTAGTCACTTTTAGCGGGGGATCTGAGGGCAGCCCAGTTTTGGTTGCTGGTGAGAGGGGTGCAGGGAATGAGAAATAGAATGACCCCTGTAAACCATCCAGCTGGTGGTTTCCTTTCAGGGGACCCTGTTCCCTACTGAGCACCAGCAAGTCTTGGTCGGTCGGATTTCCGCCACAACCAATAAACAAACTCCGATGACTTGTCTACCTTTCGGGTTGGAGTCTAAGGGTGGAAGTACATACCCTTGTTCATACCCCTTGGCTTCCATGATACCCCTTTTGGGGAGAGGGGTATGAACATCAGCAGGCCTTTTGGGTTCATTTGTCCAAGTACGTAAAAGGGGTATGTACAAGCACCCCTGGAGGGAGGGAACGACCAAAAACCGAGGTGCTGCTCGGAGGGGGAGGTGAAGAGCATCGACTTGCAGGCGGGGTGTCTTTATGGGAGTTTCGAAAGCCTCGAGCCCCGAGGTTCACCCGGCCTCTATTTCCCGTGGTGGCTCCCAGCCATCCGGTTCCTTAGCCTTTTCGCTTTTTCGTGTTTAGTGGTAGCTTCCATTTAACCCACTATCTGAGCACCAGAGTGAAGCTCCCAGACCTCCCAACCCCCCCCTTTTCCGGACCTTCGTGCAGATCCCCTGCCTCCATCCAGAAGTGCGGGTCGTGCTGGTGGACGATGTGCCCAGGGAGGCGGATCGATCGATCGATCGATCGATGGATCGATGGATCAATGGCTGTTAATCGAGGGGAGACGCATCGAAGTCGGACGGAAGACCTGGGTGTGCTGGGTTCCCTCCAAATGTCCTTTCTCGGAAAACTTCCAAAAGGGGGTTATGCAGCCCCAAAGAATCAAAGAATCAACATGCACGTTGCAAGTGGACCGTTTAAAGGGAAGTGCTTTTTTTTTTAATGAATCCCTTCCCCCTAATAGTGAAAGGGCCCCCCGACTACTATTTAAAAGGAAAACACAAAAAACAACTGCCAGCAAAACCATTTCTATTGTTAGGGGTCCTCTGGTTCTGGAGGGTGTGTTTTGGAGGTACCTCTTGTTCTTCGTAGGCTGTGCTGCAACTGCAGCCCCCCGTTCCGGGCTGCAAATTCGCATCAAACGGCCAGATCCGTAAAGAATTTAAACAGCAGAAGTCGAGGTCATGTATTGCTTTTTTTGGCTGTGGGTTCTGGTGCAACTGTGGTCCCGGAGCTCCGGCTCGAAAGTCGCAACTTAGTAGGACAGCCGTAGTAAAGGAAACGTACCCCGGGTCCATAAATAGGGCTGGATTTGAGTACGGGCATGAAAATGCCAACTTTAGAATTGGTTTAGTCTTGGCCAGTATTCTCGGATTTGGGAGTTCCGAAAACAATATTTACTAGTAGGGAGACCTGTATGAACAGGGGGAAGGGATTAGTCCGGTAACACCCCCGGAAACCGGAAGCAACGCTCATCCCGTCTTCTAGGGATCCCCATGCTTCCCTTTTCTTGGAGCATGCCTCAAATTCGCCGTTGGGATTTTCCCAGGCCGCAGAAGTGGTCGAGGTCCGCTCGCCGAGCCGAGAGATGGTCAGGGGAATGGGCCGCCCATTTGAACCCTTGGAACATCAAGGGAATGGTCGCCCCTAATGAAAAATCGAGGGCCTTCCATTTGCTTGAAATGTGTGTGTTTTTTCCCCCACCTTTGGTGTAAGGGGGCTGGGTGGTTTTCGGGGTTCAACTTGATATGTGAGCAACGCATCTGCTTCTCATGGATTCGGGCCAGATTGCCGAGCACAAGACCATGGGTACAAGTAAGCATCCACCTTGTCAAGGTTCTGGAAAGTGTCAGCTTCCCCACTAGCACGCAGCTTGAATTTTGCAAAGGGTCAATCATCAACGGTTTGGAACATTATCTGGTCTCGGTGAGTTCTTGGGGCTTACTCTTTGCATTGGCCAAAGACTAAACCAGACATCCTTTCTCTCCACTCCAAAGAACTCAGACCCAGGCCCTGGAGCATTTCCCAGATCCCAGTTCAGGCTGGGACCCGCCAACATGAAATGTTGCTTTGCTCCCGCTTTCGCTGGGCCTTATAGACAGCCCCAGCTGTGTCTGGGGCCCCCCTATTTGCCCGGGAGATGTTTTTCTGACCCGAACACGATTTGGTTCGCTGGTGTTCATTTATTCCGAATGCCCTCTCAGGAAAGGTTTCGGAAAAAGGCTCAACCACTCGAGCGCGATTTGGGTTGGCCTCCAAGCCGGGATGCTCCACTCGAGGGCGGTGGGGCGGTGGGGCTTCTCTCGAAACCAACCTCCGACAGGGTACCCTTGGAACAACGGCCCATGTGGCAATCGTTTTGGCACGGTTTTGCGACACCTCCAAACATGGGTGGCCCGAATCCAAGCATGTAAACTCACTTCCCAAGTTTCTTGACTGACTTTTTCTACAGCTTTGGAGATGTACGCCATAATCAGTGCCAAGAGACCCAAGTCTTTTCCGGACCGCTCCGGATGCACCTTTGCAACCGGAAAACTGCCCAAACAATTTGCGGCGGAAAAACGAAGAAATAAGAAGGATAAAAAACGGCCTTGGGGTTGAAGCGGTTTTGAATGAGGGGATCCTTCTCGGAATATAAAAAGCCTGTGGCTTTTGAACCACTTTCCAAAAAGCCAAGGTGACCAAGTTGTCGGTGGGTTCCAAGCCCAGCCTCCTTGCTCAGGGAACGAGGGAGTGGACCCTCACCCACCCCTCACCCACCCCTCACCCACCCGCCCACCCCTCACCCACCCCTCACCCACCCCTCACCCACCCCTCACCCACCCCCCCACCCCTCACCCACCCCTCACCCACCCCTCACCCACCCCTCCAGCCAAGTTTGGGGGAAAACATCGGGTTGGGTGCCGTAGGCCCCGATGCCCTGGGATACGCTGGGAGAGAAGGCCGGCTTCCGCAGTTTAGGGCCGCGGAGGGCGAGGAACCTCGTCGCCGTCTGAGTGGTTCAAAGAAAAGCCAGAAGACGAAGCGGCCGAATGAGGGGGGTCCCCTTAAAGAAACGGCAAGGCCGGGTGGCCTTTTTGTTTCCTTCTCCCACGCCACTGTGGGGGGGGGGGGGCTCCTTTCCTTAAAGAAAAGGACATGCCCAGCTGGCCACCGAAAGCCGTTTTTTTGTTTGTTTTTTTCCACCACTCCGCCAGCTCCAGTTGGGTTTGTGTGTTTTTGGTTTCAAGGCGAGCCAACAGAAGCCCATCATTTCGGGGCTCGCTTTTTTTAAATATATCTAGTTCATCTGGTAAAAGCAGGGGTTCATGCCAGGGGGCAAATTTATGTTGGCGCAATGCAAGTCGGCTCAATATCTGATCTGATCTGTCCGTTCTCAACATAAACCCGAGCGCCCGAATTCAGCTGTGTGAATTCCGGGTACCAATGCAAGCTTGGTTTGGACAGGCGCTTGTCCGGGCTCACTTTAGGTGGAAACTGGAAGGAGGCTTTTGAAGCGTGGTTAATTTCCTTCACTGATGCAGAGCAATAGCAAGGGAGCAGTAGCAACCCAATAGTGACTACTAGTGGCTTTTTGTGGGGCCATTACGGAATCTTCCCATGGCATTCCGTGATTGCTGTTGCCTCCGGAGCTTATGGATTTGCCAACGTTGAGCTAACGTCATGACGCTGCCGGCCCCCGAAGATGAACGTCAATTGCATATCAGCCCTCAAACGGGCATTCGTCAAACTCTGGGGACCCCCAAAGTGCTTGGCTTCTTTTGGGTCCCTTTCAACCCAAAAAGGGCTACCCTTGAAAATAATTTCTGGACCCTGGGGAGGTCAATCCAACCCAAAAAAGGGCGCCCTCGCACCCAGGGAGCCGGGGGCTATCCCTGGAAAAGCCCAGCCCGAAGAAAGGGCCCGGAGCGGTCCTCCATCCCTAGGTGCTGCCTGGTATCGGTCTCGAGGCGATGGCAGAGAGGGAGGTAAGGCCCCATTTTTGGGGGAGGTAAAGGGAAGCCACGAGGAGCACTGATCTTCCATTTGCTTAAACACATTTGTTTATTTTCTCTTGTTGGTTTTAAATGTTTTGTTTTTTCCGGGCGACTTAAGCAAATGGAAGTTATCATAGGGGTCCCCCAAACAGACACAAGGGGGGAAGATTGGCTTTCTCGGGGACATTCAGGGACAGGGAGGGATGAGAGAGGAAGAGACCAGACTGTGTCGGGGATTGCCTTGAGGGTTGCTTCAGGGGCCCGGTGGCTTGTATTTTCTTACTGGCGAAAAGGCACGCGGCCTGGTAAATCCTTCCGCAGGACAAGCAGGAGCTGCAATGGCGGCAGAGGCCGGCTGCCGGACGCGGGGCGTGATCGTGGTTTGGAGCCCTGCCTTTTGCTCACGAAGGAGAACAACCCAGCCGAGAAGGGACAAACATAAGGACCCTGAGCAATTGGAATGAAGGGATTGTGTCTAAATGTGGGGGCTCTTCGCATCGGACAGAGGGAAAGACTGGATTTGAACTAGGGCGCAGGTAGTTGTTTTTTCTGTTTTTTTCTTCTTTTTCTGCGACTTTGTCGGGCCCAGGACAAAAGCCAAGGCATGGGCATTTGGACATGCTCGCCAGCTCTTTCTAGTCAATCATGGAAGCTGACAGAAGGGTTATAGAAGCTAAAGCATTAAAGCATAATCGGAGGCGGTTTTGTTGCTGCAGACCCCCAACAAGTTGCTTCCAACGCCAAGGGATCTCCAATTTTCAGGCGTCTAAGTCCTTTCTTCCAACTTTTTCGGTGTCAGCCGCGAAGCCCCAAAGGTCCCTTTTTCTACCAGGGCCTCAACCGGATCTCGTTTTTTGCGCGTTCGGGCAGGTCGGATGTGCGCATTTTCGACTCCCTGCGGCGGGTCACTACCGTGGGTGCGGAGGCGGGTCAGACCATTTGGCTGTGGTGGTCAAAGCCGTTTTGGGATCCCATTTTGGTGGGTAGGTGAATTCACCACCCATTTTAGAACCTATTTTAGTGGGGATTGGGATGTTCGCTGGGGGTACGATTTGGCTTTTGACCCATGGCTCTTTGTTTTCAAGAGGAGACCTGTGGATGAAGTGGGTGTTACTGTGGATGGACGAAATCCTGTACCACCTAACTGGAGTGATGATTCCCCTGTGAATATCAACAAACAATGGGTTTCCAACGGTTTCAAAGTGGTGCGAACAGATTTCGTCCATCCACAGTAGGGTCCGGGTCCTCAGACAAATCCCCAAAATAATCCAAACTCAGTGTGGTGTCCTTAGGTCAAATGACCCAATTGCGGCATATTTCACACCCATGAGTGGCACCTGTTGAATCAGGCGGGTAAGGTTGAGAATGCCCTATGTGGCACTCAGTTCTGTTTGTCTGAACAACATTTTAAATCAACATAATGCATTCATATGGCATTTTGGTTTTCCTGAAAAATCTGAGCAAATGACTATTCCGGAAATGCTGTCCAATTGCTTACAGTACATGTACAAGTGGAAGACAGCACTTTACACCTAATCTATCTATCTATATTAATATATATATATATATAATTGGTGAATGTATTTGTGCATATGATAGAACCATGACTGTTATATATATATATATACCCGCTACTCCAAAATCCTGCAAAAAAGCAGGTTCCAAAACATAACCTGGTTTTCAGAGGAGAAACCTGGATTTCAAAAAGCATACGGAAAATACGGGTTTTGTACTGCTTTTATACGGGTTTTGTACGGTTTTTGCACGGGTTTCAAGAAGCAAAAACCAGGTTCTTCAACCGAAAACCCGGTTTTCGACGAGTGGCAGGTGCAAAACCTGGTTTTTGCTGCCCACCCCAAGTTTTTGTAGGTTCTTCGAGTACCAGGTACATGTAAATATATGTCTACACATGTGTGCACAATCGTGAGTGGAAACACAACTTTGCCAGGTTGTGGTGGAGCTGACCTTGCCAGCAGCCCAGCACAGACGCCAGAGAACATGTGAGCAGCGGATCAAACTGCTGGTAGTCTACTGATAGTTTGGGGGGCCAACCAAAGTCCCACAGAAAACCGGGAACCACTCAATTGCCCCAGGTCCTTTTGGGGAAGCAAGCCATTTTAACTTGCCGGATGTCAAAAGGTTTGGGGTCTCCAGTTTGACACACGGCTATGTTTCAATCCTTGAGTCATCTTTTGCTAGTCATTATCACATGGCGATATTTGGTCACCAAGCATGCTTGCTTAGTGCCACTGGGCACTTGCTCATGGTACATAGAGGTCAGCCCTTTTGATTTGTCAGTTTCCCCCACACACTATTTGCATGTTTCACTGATTCACTGATTCGTTTTTTGCTGTTCGAGGAGAACACTACAGAGGCACGAGGCTCACGAAGGGACATCAACCTCCGCCTCACCAAAGTTTCTGGAACCGGAAAGAACTCCATCTAAGACTCACTTCCTGAGTTCATGAACTTTAAACTTTTTGGGAAGACCATTTTAGTGCAGCAAGTGAGAAGAAGCTTCCAAGAGGATTCCGGTTTTTGGAGTCTCGAGGACGAACCCCATGCGGGTGCAGTGGGAGATGAGGGCTGTGAGCCTCACAGGAGAACTGGAGACGTCTGAG